GTGCAGAAGAAGACCTTCACCAAGTGGGTCAACAATCAGCTCCTCCACAAGGTGGGTGTGGTGAGCGGCTGGCAGCCAGGCTCGAGGCCCGGGCTGGAGACTCGGAGACTGTCGCCTGGGTGCCTGGCTCATGGCTGCAGCCGGGACGTGGGGGGCGGGGGGCGCCTTCGCCGCGCAGAGGGAGGTCGTGCTGGAGCGGCTGTGCTGGCTGGACGGGGGCAGTGAGTGGGCCCGCAGGGCCTACTTGTATGGGCAGCTCTGCTGCGTAGGTGGGTGCGCCCCGGAGCCGAACTGGGATGGGGTGGCTTGGACCCGGGTAGCCCCGCCTCCGCACCATTACGGAAGCACCTGGCATTGGGGGTGGGGTGGTATCACCTGGCACTGGGTGGCCGGTCCTGGTTGCAGGCGTTCAGCTTTAGCCATGGGTGCTGGAGAGGGAGGCTCCGTGGGAGGAATCTGACCTTCAAAGTAGGAAGCCCTCCTCCTGCACAAGCCGTGCCAGGCTTTATGGCCACGCAGGGTTTTCTAGCCTGGCCCTCTGCTAGCTGGGGTATGTCTGTGTCCACACTTGTCTAGGGGCGATGACATGCTTCAGAGGGCATGTGTTCCTATAGGGCCACTGGACTAATGGCTCTGGTGGGCTGCCTAAGGCCAACCTGTGCTTGGGACCCTGGGGCGAGTGGGGTCCCCAGCTGAAGTCCAGCAGAAAATGAGTGGGGGCCAACATTTGTGGAGTGGGGGCAGAACAAGGCTCAGGGCTGGGGGGAGGGGTGTCAGAGAACAGAGGCTTCAGGGGCAGGGGGTAAGGTGCTGACCACTGGTGAGAGGCAACTAGGAAGTGCAGCTACTGGAGCTGGGCCTGGGAGCGAGGAGCGTCCAGCTGGCCTCTGCCCAGGCCACATCCTTGCAGGCAAGGGTGTGTGATGTGGCCCTTCAGGGCCAACCTTTCCTTCCTGGGGGGCATTGGGATGACCCCCGTCTTCCCAACTGCTGGTGCCCAGGATGCCTGGCAGGCTACCAGGATGATGAGTAGGGGGGTCGGGCATGGGGGAGGTGGTATTTTTAGAGGCTTCAAGTTGGGGTGCGGGGTGGGGGTTGTGGCTTGAAGAAGCAAAGGAGTGAGAGGCTGACCAGTGTGGGATTTCTGTCTCTGAGCCTCCTCCCCTGTCCCGACCAGTCAGCGAGAGGGCCGGGGCTTCTGGACATCTCCCGGGGGTCCATGTCCAGGGGAACAGGCTGTGTCCTTGTGGGGAGGGGGCACAGCCTTGATCTGCTCTACCGTCTGGGGCAGCCTCTTGAGGTTTGGCGCCCTCCTGTGGCTGCAGAGGGGGCGGCAGGGATGGCGTGGGGTGGGCCTTTCCCAGAACAGAGGCCCCCTGGGGGTGCAGGAGAGGGAGGGGTGAGCCCACAGCTGGATCCCATCAGGCTGGCCGCACAGCAAGAACTGGAACATTCCTGCGGTTAGGCAGTGGTTGGGCGGGCTGGCCATCCCTTAGATGTCTGGGCTGATTCTCTGACCTGCAGAGGGTGTCCCCAGGGCCGGGGTAGCCAGCAGCGCCCTTTGCCCCTGTGCTGTCCACTTTTACAGCCTGTGGCCTTGTCTCTGAGCCCCACCTGGCTGCAAACAGCCCCCCACCCCTCCTGCCCCAGGTGTGTTCCTTTCCCATGACTCATGCCACCCCCTCCCCAGCCTGAGTCACCACTGGCGGGGTGGGAAGGGCCCTCAGGTGCCCCCTTGCTCCTTCTGCCCCCTGTGCCCCATCCCCCAGAGGGGAAGTGTCTGGCCAGGCTCAGCGGTGAGTCACCACTCAGCCATGTACTTGGTCTGCCTGCCCTTGCCCAGCCCAGGTGGGCGGGTGGGTGGGCGTGGAGAGCTCCCTGCTACAAGTTGCTTGGGACCCCAGAGGCTCTGGGAGCAGGGACCAAGCTGGGTGTGTGTGGCTCCTTAGTGTAGCTGGGGAGGGGTGGGCTGGAAGAAGTGATAGTTGGCCCCATTTCCTGAGCTGGAGGCCACACAGGTACGGGGTCCCTGCAGCTGTGGGACTGCTTGCTTCCTCAGGGCTAGAGGCCTGTTCTTTGGAGGGCTTCTTGCCCCTACTACTTCCCCCCAGGCTCCCCCTCCCCCCAGATGTGTGCCCTCTTAGGGCCTTGCCTGCTGGTCCTGGTACCAGCCCGGACACACACACACACACAGCCCTGCAGAGGGGGGTGGTGGTGGAGGAAACCCTGACTTCCCGTTTCTGGAGAGGCAGGGTGCGGCTGCAGGGGAGGGGCCGCCAGCCTTCCCGCCGTTGCCTTGGGGGGACACTCCCCTCTCTGGGGGACGGGCAGGGCGGGGTGGGGCCCCAGGGGGCGGGGGCAACCCACAGCGAGAGCAGCAGGCAGGGAGCGGCCACACGGACTCAGCTCCTCTGAGCTGGTAGCTGTGCCGCTGCGTCTACCACTGCTGCCGTGGGCCTCGCTGCACCTCACACAGCCCCGAGGCCACCATGTCCCAGAACCGGCTCCGCGTGCCTGAGCCCCAGGGCCTGGGCCACCAGAGGACTAGCTCGGAGGACAATCTCTACCTGGCAGTGCTCAGGGCCTCCGAGGGCAAGAAAGGTAGCAGACCTGCCACGGGCAGGACAGCCGGGAGTGGTCGCTTCCTGTGGCAGGAAACCCTTCCTGCGAGCTAGGAGGGAGCTGGGGGCACAGACAGAGCCTGGGCAGCACTGCCAGGGACCTACCTGGCTGCTGGGAGGCGGGGCTGTCCCGCCCAGCACAGGGCAGAGGGGCTTCTCTGTACCCCTGCTCTGCTGGAGCACAGGCTGGGGGCATGGGGGGGGGGCGGTGCAGGCCCTGACGGGCTGCTCCTCAGGTGCTGGGTGTGGCAGCAGCTCTTGGGCCCCGCCCATCTCAGGCTGCACCTGGGCCTAAGTGATCTGGAGGGTCCTGGAGCCGCCAGCCGAGCCTGCTCTGTGCTTCCTGGTCAGCGGGCTGACCCTCTCCCTGTCTCCCCAGATGAGCGAGACCGTGTGCAGAAGAAGACCTTCACCAAGTGGGTCAACAAGCACCTCCTCAAGGTGGGTGTGCGGGTGTGGGCGCCCAGAGACACTGGACTCACCTGCCGGTGCACCTGTGTGGGTGCCCTGTGGTGCTGGGAGAGTTTCGGGGGTGGGGGGTGGGTTAGGAGGTTGCTCTGGGGGGGCTCAGGTCTGGGGCCACCTGCCCACTCCCCTGCCCTCCTGCTGCCCTGGCGCCGGCCCCTGGGCTCTTGTGTCCTCATGTTCATCTCTGCAGCCTCTGATCTTCTGTCCCCTCCCCACACCCCTCCTGTCTCTTCTTTCTCTGCTCCTGCTCGCCCCCCTGCGGTTCCCCTAGCACTGGAGGGCAGAGGTAGGTGTCTCATGGGCAGGGAGGGCAAGCTCTGGCCCCCTCGGCTGCTCTGGGCACTTGGTGGACATCAGCCCCCTGTTCCCACAGGCCCAGAGGCATATCAGTGACCTGTATGAAGACCTCCGAGATGGCCACAACCTCCTCTCCCTGCTGGAGGTCCTCTCGGGGCAAAGCCTGGTACGCTCCTGTGCCTGCCCGGCCCGCCTTCTCTCGCCTGCCTGCCCACCTGCCCCCCTGCCCATCCTGGGCTCCCACCCATCCTCCTGTCCAGCTCTGCTCCTGGGCCACCTGGCCTCCCCACCGCACCGCCGCTGGGTCCCGGGCGTCGGGAGTGCCCTCCCCGCCCCGCCGTCTGGCCCGGTGACCTCACGCTCTGCTCTGCTCTGGTTTCCTCTGCTGCTTGGACTCTGAACCTTGACCTCTGCCCCTTTCCCTTTGCCCTGCTCTGGCTGGGCAGCCGAGAGAGCGGGACACAGTCAGGAGTTTGCGCCTGGTGAGTGGTTGGGCCCGCCAGCCATGCTGCAGGTGGCTCCCCGTGGCTGGAGCTGTGCTCACCCGGGCTGACCAGGGCCACCAAGCCCCACACAGGTGGCCGTGCATCTGCACCACCTGCTGACCCTCTTGCTGCCTTGCCTGAGTCAGGCTGGGGGCCATCTTGCTGCCATTGCTGGGTGGGAGGGCCCCGAGCAATTGCCCTCCACCCACGACTTCCTGGTCATTGTCTCATCCCAGCCCCTTCCTTCCTGCCCCAGCCCCTGCTGGGCCCAGTCCCCGCTGACCCCCCGCTCCCAGCTGGGGAGGGTGCATGGGGTGTGGGGTGACCGGGTCATTGCTGCAGCTGCCTGGGGGGGCTGGGGCACTCTGCTCCTGGGACCCTGACACCTGCCCTCTCGCAGCCCCGGGAGAAGGGCAGGATGCGCTTCCACAAGCTGCAGAACGTACAGATTGCCTTGGACTACCTGCGCCACAACCAGGTGAGGTGTCCGCTGCCCACGCTGCCTGCACGTCCCCACTGAGCCTGGCCAGGCCAGGACTGAAGTCCCTTGCTCGCAGGTGAAGCTGGTGAACATCCGCAACGATGACATTGCCGACGGCAACCCCAAGCTGACCCTGGGCCTCATCTGGACCATCATCCTGCACTTCCAGGTAGAGGGAGGGGAGGGGCTCCCCCCTGGGTCCCCAGGCCTGGTCTCCTGGCCTCAGGCTCTAGCTGGGCAGGGCAGGGCAGGCAGCCTCCCCAAGAGGGATGGGTCCCGAGCCCAAGGGCAGCATTCTGGGGCAGCACGGTGGCTGCTGACTCACTAGGGCCTGTCCTGTGGCACAGGAAGCCACAAATCAGAGAGCTGTGCAGGCGCTGCCTTGCCGGCACCACAGCTGAGTCACATGGGCAGGCTGACAGACAGACATGCGGGAGGGTGGGTAGCCCCAGGCCTGAGGGATGGAGGATGGTCGGGGGCCCTGTGGTGGCCGCTCTGCCTCTCACGCCCAGGGAGCCACCCCGTGTCCATCCTGGATGACGCAGGAGGTCCAGGCCCCTCTCCCCGGCTGAGAGAACAACCTGTGCGCCAGCCAGAGTGGCAGCAAGGGAGGGGCAGCCTGGGTATATGGCTCTAGGTGGCAGGTTGGGGGTGGGGTGCCCCACCAGAGCTCAGGCCCCTGTGCCCTAGATCTCGGACATCCAGGTGAGCGGGCAGTCTGAGGACATGACAGCCAAGGAGAAGCTGCTGCTGTGGTCCCAGCGCGCGGTGGAAGGCTACCAGGACCTGCACTGTGACAACTTCACCTCCAGCTGGCGGGACGGCCGCCTCTTCAATGCCATCATCCACCGCCACAAGTACGCGGGGGCTGGGCCGCGCAGCGGGGCGTGGTGGGGGCACAGCCGGGCAGCTCCAAACACGCTGGGGCAGGAGGACGTCTGGCGCTGGCTGCAGCCATGGCCTGCGGTGAAGAGCACTGGTGCCAGCTCCAGGAGGGTGTGGACCGGGCAGGCGCCACCTCTGCCCACCCCACCCCGGGCCCTTTCGGGAGCGCCATGGGGGAGCAGGGTTGCTGGTTCCCAGCACCATGCTGGCTGCCCCACGTGAGGCCCTCCTGCATGGGGCAGCAGCACCCTGGAGCTCCCAAACTGTGCCCGGGCCCAGTAGGGGTGTGTGCGATGGGTTCCTGAGGCCAGGTGGACAGTGTCCAAGCATGTGGCACACACACGTGTGTGGGGCTGGATCTATTGTCTGGGGGTGGGTGGGTCCTGCTGTGTGTGTGGGGTCTGTGGTGTGGAGGGTGGGTTCCGGTGTGTGTGTGTGTTGAGTCGGGGGTTCTGTTGTGAGCCTCTGCCCCTGCATAGCCCCCCACCCCCCCTGTGCGTCCCCAGGCCCATGCTCATCGACATGAACAAGGTGTACCGTCAGAGCAACCTGCAGAACCTGGACCAGGCCTTCTCCGTGGCCGAGCGAGACCTGGGAGTGACGCGGCTGCTGGACCCTGAGGGTATGTGTGACACTGGGGGGGGGGCACCATCAGATCTGGCAGGGTGCCCTCTGACCCCTCCCCCTGTCACAGATGTGGACGTCCCCCACCCTGACGAGAAGTCCATCATCACCTATGTGTCCTCCCTGTACGACGCCATGCCTCGTGTGCCCGATGCTCAGGATGGGGTGAAGGCCAACGTGAGTGGTGGGTGGATGGGCTGACTGGGGTCTGTGGCGGGGGCTGGCTGCTACCCCTCTGCTCATAGTCCTGACCCTCACCTCACCTCACCTCAAGCCCCCATCCCGTTCCCCATTCTACACCCCTCCGAGCGCCACCCTGTGCTGACTCGCCTCTGCTGGCCCTGCAGGAGCTGCAGCTGCGCTGGCAGGAGTACAGGGAGCTGGTGCTGCTGCTGCTGCAGTGGATACGCCACCACACCGTGGCCTTCGAGGAGCGCAAGTTCCCTGCCAGCTACGAAGAGATCGAGGTGCGGCGTGCTTTGGCCCGGTGGTGGGAGTTGGGGGAGGCCCCGGCAGCTGCTGACCCATCCGATCCGTCCCTCAGATCCTGTGGTGCCAGTTCCTCAAGTTTAAGGAGACGGAGCTTCCAGCCAAGGAGGCGGACAAGAACCGCTCCAAAGCCATCTACCAGTCTCTTGAGGTGAGTGGGGGCCCAGCTAGGCCAGGATTGTGGGCCAAGGGGTGGGGGTGAGGGGCGAGGCTAGGGGGTGGGGGCCAGGCCAGTGCATGGGTTGTGGTGGACGATGCACGCTGGGGGTGGGACAGAGTGGGTTGTGAGCATGGCCTGGCCGCGGCCCCTGCCCACAGGGCGCGGTGCAAGCGGGCCAGCTCAAGATGCCTCCTGGCTACCACCCGCTGGACGTGGAGAAGGAGTGGGGCAAGCTGCACGTGGCCATCCTGGACCGGGAGAAGCAGCTGCGCAGCGAGTTTGAGAGGTGGGAAGACTTGCGGGAGGAAGGGAGGTGGCCAGGGTGGGGGAGATGGGGGGAGAGAGCCCGGAGCGGGGAAGTCCAGGGTGAGTCATGGCAGGGAGGAACCCCGCGGCTGGGTGGCCCAGCAACCGCCAGTGGTGTCAGTGGGGTCGCGGGCGGTAGGCGGACTCGGACGAGCGGCAGGGAGCGGGCGAGCGGGGCCGGTGGCCGCGGCGCTCACTTGGGGCGGGCGCTGGGGTCCCAGGCTGGAGTGTCTGCAGCGCATCGTGAGCAAACTGCAGATGGAGTCGGGGCTGTGCGAGGAGCAGCTGAACCAGGCTGACGCCCTGCTGCAGGCGGTGAGGCCCATCCCGGGCCGGCAGGGGCGGGGGGGGAGGCGGGAGGCGGGGCCCCAGATCCTGCCACACCAAGTGCAGCTGCGCACTTGGAGGGGAGCCCCTCCGGGACGAGGGGCGGGGCCTGAGGGGCGGGGCCAGGGAGCCCAGGGTTGTGCCCACGCCCGCCCCGCCCCCTGGTTGCCGCCCCGCCTTCCCGGGCTGTGGCTGCTGAGCTGCCTAGGCACCGGGGTGGGTGCAGGAGACCAAGGCACCCCTCCCACCCACCCGGCTCCAGCCCTACCCTCATGGGGGTGTGGAGCCCACGGCTGGCTGAGGACTGTGCACCAGCAGGAGCGGGGCTTGCCAGGGTCCCGAAAGGAGGGTGGCAGGGAGGGTGGGCACCAGCTCTGATAGCACCCCACCCTCCTCACAGGACTTCCGGTTGCTGGTGGCGGGTAAGGCGCCCCAGCGGGCAGGAGAGGTGGAGCGGGACCTGGACAAGGCGGATGGCATGATCCGGCTGCTTTTCAACGACGTGCAGACCCTTAAGGATGGGCGGCACCCGCAGGGCGAGCAGATGTACCGCAGGTGGGCCCTGCTTGCCGCCCACCCTGCCTCACACCCCACCCAGAAGCCTGCTGCCTCCCCGCCATCGCTGACCGCCGTGTCTGCTCCGCTCCAGGGTGTACCGCCTGCACGAGCGTCTGGTGGCTGTCCGCACCGAGTACAACCTCCGCCTGAAGGGGGGCGTGCCCGTGACCCCGAGTGTGGCGCCCAGCACAGCCAGAGCCCGAGACCCAGAGCTCGAGAGCTCCACGCTGCGCTACCTACAGGACCTGCTGGCCTGGGTGGAGGAGAACCAGCGGCGGGTGGACGGTGCTGAGTGGGGCGTGGACCTGCCCAGCGTGGAGGCTCAGCTGGGCAGCCACCGCGGCTTGCACCAGTCCATCGAGGAGTTCCGGGCCAAGATCGAGCGGGCGCGCAGCGATGAGGTGGGCATATTGGTGGGCACCCACTGATGAGGTGGAGTGGGCATGGCAGCGTGCACCACTGACCAGGTGAATGGGCACAGATGGCAGGGATCCACCTCGTGGCTCAGTCCCTGATCTTGACCCTACAGAACCAACTCTCTCCAACCACCCGGAGTGCTTACTCGGACTGCCTGGGCCGGCTGGACCTGCAGTATGCCAAACTGCTGGTGAGTGGCTGACAGACGGGCACCAAGGGCAAGGGCCGGGCCCAGGGGTGGGGGTCACCCACTGACACCCTGCTTGCCCCCATAGAACACCTCGAAGGGCCGGCTCCGAGCCCTGGAGGGGCTGCACAGCTTTGTGGTGGCCGCCACCAAGGAGCTGATGTGGCTGAATGAGAAGGAGGAGGAGGAGGTGGCCTTTGACTGGAGTGATCGTAACGCCAACATGGCCGCCAAGAAGGAGAGCTACTCGGTGAGAGGCCCCCAGGCCCCCAGACTCGGTGCCCGGACCCTGCCACGCTCCCCCCACCCCCCACATGCGGGTCCGGTTGGGAGCCAGCGGCCTGCCCCCAGCGGCTGACCCTGTCTCTGCGCCAGGCCCTGATGCGGGAGCTGGAGCTTCGGGAGAAGAAGATCAAGGAGATCCAGACCACAGGGGACCGGCTGCTGCGCGAAGAGCACCCTGCCCGCGCCACGGTGGAGGTGGGTTTGGTAGGAGAGGGGACGAGGGGGAGGAGCCAGCCCTCAGAGCGGGTGGAGGCGGGGCTGCGGTGGGGGGAGCATCGCGTCCTTGGTGTGGACTGGTAGGGCGGTGGAGAAGGCGCGGGTCCTGACCCAGGTGGGCTGCAGTCTTTCCAGGGGGCCCTGCAGACACAGTGGAGTTGGATGCTACAGCTGTGCTGCTGCATCGAGGCACACCTGAAGGAAAACACCACCTACTTCCAGGTAAGCCTGCCCTGTGCCGGGGAACCCTTCCTGCCCCACCCTGCCTCCAGGCCTTTCCCTCCACTTTGCTCCCGCCAACTCTGGGGGGTCGGTCAGGCCCACGGTGCAGTCTGAGAGCCCAGGTGACCCTTGGCTGCTGCTCCAGTTCTTCTCAGATGTCCGAGAGGCCGAGGAGCAGCTGCAGAAGCTGCAGGAGACACTGCGCAGGAAGTACACCTGTGACCGTTCCGTCACGGTTACCCGCCTGGAGGACCTGCTGCAGGACGCCCAGGTGAGCTGACTGCCCGGCCTCACATCAGGGAGACGGACGGGGACAGGGGTGCAGCTGTGGGCCTGACCACTGAGGTGCTTATGGGGGTCTGGACCTCCAGGGGACTGGCAGG